ACACCAATTATTATATGACACGTGTTAATTTAATGTAAAATGTATTTTTTTAATCTTAAGTTTTTCCTTATTTTTTTTTTTAACTTTATTTCTCTCTCTTACTTTTTTGACTTTTAATTTTGATTTATCTTAAATTTCACTTCATCTCCCACCTCCCACTTTCAAGTGATTAATTCCTCCATTATCTTTTTTTTCTTCACCTCCTACACCCCATCTCAAATTGAGCCCTACTCCCATTTTTTTATTTTCTTTTTTTCCTTCTGGTCAAATTGTTTGTAGAATTCATATCATTTTTTTAGACTTTATTGAATTATTGATAGCAAAATTAATTATTTTTCTAAGAAAATTTAGAAGGTATCATAAACTACTCATTTTCATATAAATTCAAGTTAAAAATGATAATTTTAAAAGAATCAATTAATTTCAAAAAATTGAAAGAACTTAATTGAAATCGGATGAAAACAAATTATATGATACTTCCTGATCACCATGAAATCTAATGGGTTTATCAAATTATTTTTTTAACAAAATATTTAGATAAAATTTTAAAATTAAAGAAAGTAAAATTAATAGTAATAAACAAGGAAGGTGAATTTTTGGTAAGAATGACGACATTGAAAGTAAGAAGCTTTAATGAATGGAGATGAGAATGGATTTTTTAAGAAGAAAGAGAAACGAAAAAGGAAACGGAAAAAAAATAAAATAACAAGAAAAATAAGAAAATATATTTTACGAAAAAGGGTCAAAATTACCCTTGAGCTATCAGAAATAGCTTAAATATACCCTTGAAGTATATTTCGGCTCAAATATACCCTTACCGTCAAACTATAGGGTCAAAAATACCCTTCTCATTAACAGAATTGGTTAAATGCGATTTAGAGTTCCACTCATGTCACGTAGACTAATAAACTTACCCCTAATTTCCCTCAATTTTCTTCATTTTCGTAGAATTTAGAAACGATTTCACTGAAGAACATAGAACCACTTTTCCTCATTTCTCCATTTTCTTATAATGATTTCACAAAATACATAAGTTCTAAGGGAAGGGGGTTCTATGTTCTTAAGTGAAATCGTTTCTAAATTCTAAGGGAAATAGAGAAAATTGAGAGAAATTAGGGGTAATTTTATTTTCTACGTGGCATGAGTGGAACTCTATTGGCTTATATGGCATGTCATGTGGTATCCACATGGCATCCAAGTGGTGTTTAACAGATCTTGTTAATGAGAAGGGTATTTTTGACCCTACAGTTTGAGGGGGGTATATTTGAGCCGAAATATAGTTCAAGGGTATATTTGAGCTATTTCGAATAATCCAAGGATATTTTTGACCTTTTTCCGTATATTTTATAATAAAGTACTAATAAAAAATAAAATTATATTATTTATTATAGGTTTCTCACTTTCTTTGAGAGAGTGCACACCACTCTCTATGTCAGGTGGACAAAAAATGATATAATTATATCTATTCAAAATTGTTTAGTGGGGTTATAGGATGGTTGCAGAGTTAAGGTGTCTTTTTTAAAATTTGGGACAACTTGAATGTTGAATTTATGTCTTTTCTCTTTTATAGAATATTGGATCACATCTCATAATATGGAACTGTGAGATGGAATCAACGTAAAATCGCATGTCCAAACACTGATTCCATCTCACGATACCATATCATGATATGATATCGCATGACCAAACGCATATTAACTTTACTATGTGTCCGAATGTTTGTGTGAAGCATGAACCAACTAATTTTGGTACTCGGGAGTTGGAAATGTTCTTTTTATATCGTTTTTAAGTGTGAGAATAAGATTTCCATGAAAATGTCTTAAGTTATTTATTTAGATGATTATGGAAGGGTTCTTCCGCCTCAAGTTAAAATTCTGCGCAATATCAATTTGACATCGGATAAATGTGCAAATGGACAGGCTTCTCTTCCTCAACTATTTTTTTTAGAAAACTAATTCCTTTATTAGATTATAATCAATATTTCCTTCGGTAATCTCCTTAAAATATCACAAGTATTAAATTATGTTTCCTCTTTGAGCCGTAGTATCCTTCCAAAAGGGGTTGCTACACTAACTGATCTCTGCTCATCTCCCATAGTTTAGGACTTACTGTTTATATATTTGTATATGTGAATGACATTATTATTACTGAAAATTAAGACCATGGTGTTCGAAAATTTTCAAGGTGTTTTCTCAACGTTTCTATCTAAAAACCTTAGGCCACTTAAACTATTTTTGGGGTGCGAAGTTTTGTCATATCAAGGTGGCCTATTGTTACCTCAACAAAAGTATAGAAGACTTCTCTGGGAAGCCAATATGCAAGACATCAAATGAATTTCCACTCATATTTATTTGTTGTTGTTGTTTTTGTTAAGTTTAAACCAGGTTGATCCTATTGTTAATGGCTCTTTCTTCCGGACAATATTTGTCCTTTGCCAGACCTGACATTAAATAAACTCCCATATGTCCTCAAGTTAATAACTAGAACATTGTTAAGTGGCTTCCTCCGCTTTTGGACTTCAAATAACCTGTGAGACTAACAACCAAATTATGTTGTATTTGGAACTAATTGGGCTAAGTGACCCTACTAATAGAACTTCCACAACTGATTATGTTATATATAAATATATCTCTCGATCATCTTTTAAAGCCGAACATCTATTGCATAAACCAACATATTGTGTGAGCTTCACTTTACCCTTACTAGCATACCGCGTATACTCTATGTTCATATTGAAACGTGAAAATCATGTCTTTCATCTCCAACCCCAACATTATTAATCAATATGGCTTAAGAAGATCAATTTCAATTCACTTGAACCATACTTGGCCTGTTCATTCATGGTTTTTGTAGCAATATTCAATTCTAGATATTTACCAACATCTCTTACGGGTTTGTTCAATATAATGCTAGTTATGTGTAAGAAAAAGCAAACCAAAGCTCAAACTGGAAAAATTAGAGGATCTGAAATCAGTCGCACATCATTGCAACATCTATAAACCTTCTTGATATTATCTTGTCATCATCATATCATGGGTGAAACGAAGAAAGATATTGAAATCTCTAAATTAATATTTCAAAATCATAAATAATCACTATTTTCTAGAGGTATTATTTAGTCGATAAATTAGTATTTAATAATTTAAAGATTGATTCAATGAAGATTAATTTTGATTATATCATTTTTAAATGATTAAGTCTCAAGGGATTTAAATAAACCCCCTTATGAAAACGGCATTCATGAATTCGAGAAAGCAATAAAATGAATGGCAATAGCATGTTAGATTACCCGGCGAAAATGATACATATTTCCAAACTGATACACAATTTTTTGGTACAATTTGAGGCGACAACTAAGGAACTTTTTGATGCAATAACAAGTGTTAGACATGAACTTCAAGTAGATTTAATTTTTTTAACAGAAAACAAAAGACACTAAAATCATATTTCACTAAATTGTCTTAAATTATTAGTTTATAATATTAATAGGATCATATATACTTATATAATGACCTTTTTAAAATATATTATCTTATCGAAATTTGTAACTTTTTCCACGGACTGGAAATAATATTATTAATTTACCAAATATTAATACAGATTAGTTTTACACTATTATACATACCTATGTTCACACTTCCTTTCAGGTGTTGTCAAAAGCACCTCTTTCTTTTTATTATTGGGAGTAAGAGAAGGGAATAAATGTTAAGGGCTACTTGTCAATTGTCAGAACCAGTAAAAATGTAGAGTTCTCCTCAGAGCTCCCACGCAACAACTATTATGAATTAGCTCCGTTAATAACTTTGAAAAATATCACACCAAAAAAAGAAGGATCATACCATGCAGTAGTAGAAGAGAGAAAAACCATTGATGCTAACACTATATCCAGAAGCCTGCCTACACCATCTCTAAACCAAATCTAGAATCAATCAAATACAATGGACTGAAGATTAGGAAAACAAAAAGAGAAGTCTACCTATAACTTAGTACTGTACGAGCTAGACGTTAAGACGATATAATATTCACATGTATATATAAATTGAATAGAGAAACAAATTCACAAGGTAAATGTCAATCATCAAGAGCACAGAGTCTTTCTGTTTCCACTAGCATCGAGGAGACCCTACTGGCTTTCTTAATAATTCTTACTATAAGGATTCTTTGAGAATCCCCTAAAGGTTCATGCTGCTATTGACCAACTTAAAGAATACACACAACAACAAAACGGAACATGATTGATCAGTTTATTTTAGAGTAACTGTGTTAAACAATGATCATGATGGCTGCTTTTAGCCTCCTCTCTTTCAACACGGATCTGCATTCAAGAGATAAAAACTTAAGAATATCATCGATATATCTTCAACATTTGAATTCCAACAATCCAGGGAAAAGAAGAACAAACTGTAGAATACCACTTCCTCTTTTAGCAGGTTATTATCATATTTGATTGAAGCTTCCATAACCTTATGGGGTATAAGGGAAAGACTTGAGTAGATAGCTAGTCACATACCAAAAGAGTGATTAACATCTTTATGATTATCATGCATCCAGTAGTTTAGGGGTATTGCTAAATCAGCAGTATGTTCTGAGATTTCATTTCTTCTTCTTACTTTATTTAAGCTCTTGTAATATTTGATACATTTTTTACTTCTTTATCAAACGATCAAATCCAAAGTAGTTAGCTAGTGTCTACACATGAAGATGTCTTCCCCATTAAGTTACAAACCAGGAAAAACTAGTTATCACAATTCTCGGAATGCCCTTTTTACTATATCCTATTTTCCTTATCAAAAGAACAAACAAAATGCCTGGTGACAATGCATGCTCTTGCAAACCAAATACATAAAGTGAATTTGATTGCATAGTCATCAATAATTTAATGAAGTGTCAGATTAAATAAAATGATAGTAAAACAGGTATCTAAATCAGTAACAAGTATGAGTAGATGAACTTCCATTATTTCATGTCACGAGAAAATTTGGAAAAACAGCTTAATTTACCAGTAGAAGATCCTCATCAGTTCCGAAGGATTTGCGGGCCTTTTCTAAACATTTTGAGGTGACCCTTCCATATTTCCTGCATAAAGATTTTCAAACTTAATGCAAATATAAACAAACTGGATCCTCAAACAACCAAAAGCAGAATTGTAAAAATCAAAAAATAAAAGGTTGGTTTCTTTGAAGGAATCTTTTTAATTTTATCATAGATAAAATTAACTACTCTTTTTAGTTAATGGTAACATTTCATTATCAACAAAACACATAAGGTGATGGTAAAAAGAACAAAATACATACTCCAAAGTAAATCAGAGTATTACAACCCCCTTGATCTAACAAAAAGTTAAAGGGATCAAGTAACTTCAAGTATGAATTCACTATCATTTACAGGACATTCTTTACTCCAACAAAAGAAAAAGTAATATATAGTTCTGTTTAACTCTGTGTGGAGTTATTTGTATTGCCAAAACATCCAGAGTTTCTTTCCTTTCAAACAAGCAGGGATGAGTTGCCACAATTTAGTACCATCAACTACTCCATTCCAACATCTGAAGATGTTTACTGTCTTAGACCAATTCATTTCGGTCATACACAAGAACATGTGCTATAGTTGAGCTGTGACAACACAATGTTGAAACAAATTAGAATTGTTTTTCACCTTCTTTTACATAAGGTGACATCTGGAACTCAACAGGTAACCCCTCCTCTTTAATTTCTCTCGAGGTAGACATGCTTTTCTAGACACTAACCATACAAACATTAAACCATAGAGGTGCACAAACATTAGACCTTAAGAGGGTGCATTTACTTTCCAAATCAGCTTCCACGGCCATCCCTTCACCTCATGGCAAGTACCCATCAAAATACTATAAGCTGATTTTACTAAGATGATTTTGGAGCTTCAGCCTTTCCATACCAGATAATCCTCACATACTGCTTAACATTGAAGCTGCTCCAGTTGATCTAGCAGTCCAGCAACTCTGTTCAATTCCCAATCACATAGCTTCCTTCTGAGGTTTCGATTCCGACTTTGGTGTTTCTCGTCTCCTCCACTGTGGCTTGATGATTTTTTGCTGGCAGATATAGGTCAAAATATTGGTCTTAGAGGGCCATCTCGTATCCAATTATCATCCCAAATGGCAGTCCTCCTACCATTTCCTAGCTGAATTTCTGAGTTGCTAAAAGAACAAGTTCATAGTGTAGAGATGATCTCCAATTGCTTACACCATACGGGAATTTCACCACCTTTGTGCACCACTGGGAGACTTATACATACTTAAAATCAATTACCTTCCTCCTTACGCCTGGTGCTAATTATTCCATCTCCACAGCCACTTAAGTAAGAGACCTTTGTTGCGTTGCCTCAAATTTCTGATGCCTAAACCGCCATGTGCTTTGCTTGAGATGACTGCCTTCCAAGTTTACCAAGTGAATAGCTTTTTGTTTCCTTGCCAAATGAAATTCCTTCTGAGAGATTCCAACCTTCTTTCCGCCTGGACTGGTAGAGGGAAAAGGGATATCACATAGGTTGGAAGAGAATCCAACACTATTTACTAGGAACACTCTTCCTCCAAGCGAAAGATATTGAGTCTTTCACATAGACTGTCTCTTAAAACATCTATCAATCACACCATCCCATATCTCCAGCGCTTTGTTTTTGTCCCCCGGTGCTAGGCCAAGATAGGCAGTTGGCAGACTACCAACTTCACATGCCAAGGACCTGCCAACCTAATCTAAGGTACCATATTGATAAGAAGATCAGACTTTTCCTCCAACTGACATGTAGCCTGAGACTTCTTCAAAGACAGTTAACTTAGAATTTGTCTAGTTATGCCTCAGTTGATCAACTTCAGCATATAGCAGATGAGAGATATCCATTCCAATCCAGCTTTGCTGGATGCCATAAAACCCCTAATCCATCCATTTGCCTTAGCTTTCTGAATCATGCAGTTAAGTGATAAAAATTGCTACTAACTTTCCTACTACACCACCAAATTAAGAATAAATTTCTTGAGCGGGTAAATTAAATCACAAACACAAGAAAATAACAAGTTTGAGTCTAGATTCTGAAGAAGGGTTCTATTCAAACAAACAAAAGACTCCTTCAACCTTTGGGTAAATCATACATCTTCTAGAACAGTCATAGAAAAGATACAGGAATATCCGGGTGGAAATTGAGAGATTTCATTTTCTCTTACCTAGTATATTAATAGCTGCCATGGACCTTCAAAGAAAGTATATCTGCTCAATAAAACCATGCAACATGTCTGTGTTCCCTCAGGAATGACTTAGACCAACCCAATAGACTTAACAGTTTGGTGTGTCGGAAAAAACATTAAATAAATGTCAAATTAACTCTCCTACTACAGTCTACTATCCCAACATTTTGACAGGGCTAGGACTTAGAGAAATTCCACCTCTTCACCCTGTAGTCCAGTCAAGGATGATTTGAACGAATTCTAACTTACTGCTTGGTGCAAAACTGGCCAGATGAGTTAAGCCTTCCATTCACCAACTACTCTTCAGTACATGCCTAAGTAACTAGTACACACTAAATGTTCCTCTAGCTACTCCTAAAGCTTCCATGAATTGTGTCAGTCATCTCCATGTAAATAGATATATACAAAGCTCAGGGGACTCACGTTGCTGGATATCATGGCTGGAATATAGGAGACAATTGCAAGTATTTGGAACCACTTCAGAAGATCATCTCTTTGAAAAAAAGATATTTCTCTGGTGGACCCTTCCCCATCCAAGTTAGCGTATTGTATATCACTATCTCTTGTCTGTTAGGTGATCTTTGGACTTTGCACTGATCGGTTCTGTATTGCTTAGGATGTCCTACAAAATGCCAAATGAACCTTCTTTCGACACCTTATCACAAAGTCGACAACCTCCATGAAAATCATACCTTTAGGAGAAAAAGAACACAAAACTTTAAATGTTTCACGACTTGTTTTCACTGAGTTTTAGGAATTATCTCCCCCTTGTTGGAGAAAACCCCTTTTCTGTTGCCGATTGAGTTTTGATGTCTCTGTCTTGTTCATGTCTCTATGTTACCAGTTGTGCTCTCCACTCTACAATAATAAACTAAACAACTTACCTCACCCCATACGAAATCCAAGTAACATGAGCATTGACATTTTAATACAGACATCCACCGACAAACAAAATTACAAATAACTTCTTCAATTTCCACCTTTGTGATGAAAAATATCATGAAATGGAAATACATGAAAGTTAAAAGGCCAGTTAAAATAGTCATCATTAGTATTGGCAAGAACTTTTATCAGGAAAAGGTCCTTTTGTAAGTTCCTTGTTAATTTCATGGTGAAAAGACGAGATGATTTTTGTTGACGCAGCTAAAGGTAATTAGGAAAAACCTTGAACTGGCAGGATCACGAATCTCAAACTCATCTGCGTCACTGTCATAGCCACAGATGACAATATAATGACCTGCGTAAACATGATTCAGAAAATAGGGTTCTATTAATCGTGCAATAACTCAAGTACAAAGAGGACAGAGGTCCATTAGATTAGTACTCAGATCAGAAATGTAAATTTGTAATCAATCATTTCATTGTCTGACTTAACTGGCTTCCTAATTAATTAAACCTATATGCCACTTAATGATGCCATATGAATGCCAAGACAGTCCAATGACACTTTAGCAAACAGAAAAGGTGGGAGTTTCTGTTCATCAGCAAACCAATAAGTTGAAAGATAGAAAACATGTACTACATTTCCCCATGCTAGTGAAGCTTAGAAGAATAAAATTTACACAAAAATAGAAGTCTTCCCATCATGAAAATATCAGTTGGCAACTAATGAAATGATAATTTTGTACCCTCACTAAGATATAAACAATATTTTATCAGTGAACTTTCTAATAGTTACCAATAATTGTTTCAACCTTCTGAGTTATCTAGTTTCATCTTTCAACATTGAAATTTCTAATATTTAAGAATTATCACCCAAGGTTTGAATAAACTTACATACCTGATTTAGAAAAATTTTGCATGTAGTTTGATATGTTATTTATGGCATACTTATGAGTTTATATTTATTTATTTTTATGACAAGGGAAACCCTCAGCCGCTACCCTTTGAGTGCACACAGGGTAAAAACGTTGGTCCTATGCAATAGCTCGCAAACCACATAGGAGAGGTAACATGCACCAGGCAAGCCTGGTGCAACGAGCTCAACCAGAAGGCAAACCTCTTGCTTTCGCTGGCAAGGGGTTTTGCACTAGAGACCTTCAACATGGAAGTCCCAAGCTCAAACCACTGGGCCACCCTGAAGGGTTATGAGTTTATATGACCTTCCAAAAAATATTAATTCTCCTGTTAAACTAGTTTTATATTCAAATAAGGATGAAAAGAGATTAAAGGAATCTTGACATTTTTCAATGAAGCTATCTGTTTGTCATTTAATGTCACAATACAAGCAAGTAATTTGACCTCCCATATTGCTTTTTTAACTAGAATCCACTCTACTTGAAAAGTTACACCATATATGAGGAGCAGGAATGAATAAACTTCTCACCAGTATAGTCTGGGGTGTCGATGCATAAATCTGAAGCACAAACATCCAGCCAAGAATGACTGCACAAAAGGTCATATGTAAGACAAAAGTTTGACTGATCTCTCTCTCTCTCTCTCTCTCTCTCTTGTGTATGGTCACGAAGGAAGATATAAGGGAAGGTAAAAAGTGTTAAATTAATAAAAGATGAATGTTATACCTTAATTTGTACTGATCAACTAAAGTAATTGCAAGAAAATTTCCAGACAAGATCAGTAAAGAGATCTCTTCACTGCTGATTGATCTGCACTGGAAAAGGAGGATGTTTATGTATAATATCATAGGATGATAAACATAGAGCTATAGTGAGCAAATTTAGCTCCTGAACCTGTAGATTGAGAAAATAAAAATACAGCAAAATTCAACAAAGTTAGAGTTGACACTACACAAGATGCTTACAAACAAGAGCATAGAGAAGTACTATTGTAATAGGGAGTTCACAAACTGTGATGAACATTAGTTCACAAGATCAAATAATTCGCTAACACTAGTTCTGAATAAGGTCACACCCTGTGGCCAAGGCTTTCCAAGACTTGCCACTACAAGGCAGAAGAATAGTCTGGTGATATGCTCCACACCATCCAGTGGCCCCAAACTGACCCCACAACAAGTAAGGATCGATTAGTCAATCAATCTATGCCTCAAGCTTAAAGCAAGTTGGTATCAGCTCTATGAATCCTTTGTTATCATCCCAAGCTATAGGATGTCAAACAATGAACCTATTGTAAGTGTAACTGTAACAATTAAGCCTGAACCCCACTAGCACTACTAAAAAACTGCCGAAAATCAACGGCCAAAAGCGAAGGACTGCGTCTCTTTTTTGGTCACAATCCACGAAAAAACGGCACAGTCACTTCTCTCACTTTCCAAAAGGTGACAAACGTCACTCCAAAATGACGGACTGTGTTGGCGTCGCTTTTCTGAAGAAAAAATGCATAAAAGCGACGGACAAAAGGATCATGTCCGTCGCTTTTCTGCAACATTTTTGACAGTAACCAATTTCTGTTGCCACCTACAAATAAAATTCAGCCCATATCAAACAAGAAACATATACAAAATATATAATAACAAACACTCAAAAACACTACAAAAATAATTCAAAGACTTATAAAGTCTTCCAAAATAAATATAAAATTCTAAAATTTTCACTGATTAACGGAATGTTAGCTAAGAGGTGGAAACTATGTATTCATCATCATCACTATCATCGGTACGAAAGGACCCTTAAGAAGAACGGGACGCAATAGGCCGACGAGCGAGGTTGAGGGCTTGTTCTTTGATTTGCTCAACGGTTTGGATCAGCAACTCTTTTGGCCTCAAACGCTGCCAATGCACGTGTAAGTTCTGCAATTTGATCCAACATAGCAGCTATCTGAACACCGTCAAGTGTCTCGGCTTAACGTGACAATCCAAACCTTATAGGAGTCTTTGTACATCGTTCAGAGACCATCCCGTAGATTATTCCCTTGTGTGTTTCCCAATCATTTTTTTGAGTGGACTCTTCAGGTGTGAGTTGGACCGAATCGCCCATGTCAAGCATGTGCTGCTCATACTCTCTCGGCATGTTAAAAATAAAATTTAGCATCAACATATATATATATGTGCACTATTTGTGTTAAAATTGTAAATCAAATAAGTTAGATAGATTTGTTCAATACTTTCTTCCACCCACTCATCCAGATCCAACTCATTTAGCCTCTTCTTCAAATGAGTCCTCTTGAAAACCTCATTACCAAGGGGAGTGCGCCACAATTCTTTTTCCAATAAATAAAAATAGAATTTTAGACGATATTAATCAAATAATTAATTTAAAAGTATGAAGTAGAAGTTAAAATTTAGAAAACTTGTTACCTCTCTCGTGATTGTTTCAACTTACTTTGCACCTCCGATGTGCAACGAGTAATCCTTAAGACTGTTTCTAGTTTGTTTAGACACAACCTTGAATTCATCTGTATTTCAATACTGGCGTAAATCCTCAAAAACATTTGGCAAGAGCCAGGTGCGTCATTTTCAGGCCTTCTTTAGCCAGCTAGAACATCTTGCGCTTGTCTTCCTCTCAAATGTGGCCATAATGATTATACTATACTTTAGCTTAAGAGTACACATCGTATAAGAAAAGAGTAATGTTAGATAATGAATAAAATAAAGTATATTAAACTTAACTAAAAAATATATAATTAAACATATATATATATACCTTAAATACATTAAACATCATATGTCTATCCTGTTTGGAATCTCACCTCTGTATAAAGCCTTCTAACACTCTCCTATAGAGGCCCTAACAACATTGTCCATTTGTAAGACACATAATAAACATGTTAGCTTATGAATAACATATTAATGTAGAAGCAATAAACAAAATAAGGAAAATAATAGATAATAAAACAAACTTACGATGATCCATCCGGCTCAATCATCACTCTACCAAGTTTGTCCCTCTGCTAACTCAAGCATATCCTACTCCTCATCGAGTGTAGCAACAAGTGGAGGTGAACGTGATACTCCAGGATTTACATAACGCTGAGTCAATGGAGGAGTAGCATCCATCGCATCTGACTTAGTACTCGAATCTCATGCCAGATAGATGGGGATATGTAGCCGTGGGAGATGGAGTACCAAATGATATCCTATTTCTCGATAAAGGTTGTGGTTAGCGATAAACCTCTGTAGGTAAGATAGTGTAGCGACATGGAAGCAAAGACGGCGAAGAAGAATTAAGTGCCACGTGGTTGACAGTTCTAACAATGATATGCTAAGGTATCCGCGGTCCCAAATGGAACAACATATATATGTGTATCAGTATTGCACGTCTCTTATGCAGAAGAAAGAAGTACAAGGATATCCCCAAAAAGGTTATTGAGATCCTGAGGTTATCCTAGGACTTTTTTCTTCTGCACCGGAGTTGCTGATACTGATACACATATATATATTAATTCATTTGGTGTAGCGGATCCTTTAGTGTATCTTAGTCAATACCGTCAACCACACGGTGCTTCTTCTTCACCGTTCTTGCCACCACGTCACTACACTATCTTACCTATAAAGGTTTAACGTTGAGCACAACCCTTATTAACAAATAGGATATCATTTGGTTCTCCATCTTCCACAACTACATCTCCTCACCTATCTGCATGAGACATAGAGATTCAATATTGTGTCAGATGCTATAGATGTTACTCCTTCATAAACATAGCGTTATGTACATCCTGGAGTATCACATTCACCTCCACATGTTGCTACACCCTGTAAGGAACCAAATACATTTGAGCTAGTAGTCGAAGGGACAACTTGGTAAGAGTGATGATTGACTCAAATTGATCATCGTAAGTTAATTTTGTTATCTATTAATTTCTTTTATTTTATTTATTTCTACTACATTAATAAATTCATGAACTAATATCTTTCTTATGCGTCTTGATGTTGTTAGGGCTCTATAGGAGAATGTTAGGAGGTTTTATACACTTGAGGATTCCAAACAGGATGTCGCAGACAATGCTTAATGAATTTAAGGTATATATATATGTATAGTTATATAGTTTTTATATAAGTTAAATATTTTTAGTATACTTTACTCAATTCATTATGTAATATTACTCTTTTTTTAGACTTTGTGCACTTGGAAGCTGAAGTACAATATAGTCATTACAATCATTTTTGAGAGGAAGGTCAGCGCAAGACTATCTAGCTGGCTAAAGAAAGTCAAGCATAATTACATGCTTGAACCTTGGCTCTTCCAAAATGTTTTTTCGAAAATTTGCATCGGTATTGGAACACGTATGAATTCAAGGTTGTGTTGGAACAAGCCAAAAAAGTTAGAAACAATCTTAAGGATGACTTGTTGCACAACAGAGGTGTAAAGAATGTTGGAACAATTACGAAGGAGATGGTAAGTTTTCTAAATTTTAACTTCGAAATCATACTTTTAAATAAATTAGTTGGTTAATTAATATTTGATTAATATTGTCAAAATTCTATTTTTATTTATAGGAAAAAGAAGTGGGGTGCACTACTGCACTCCCCTTCATAATGAGATTTTCAAGAGGACTCATGTGAAAAGAAGTTTAATGAATTGAGCCCGGATAAGAGTTGGTGGAAGAAAGGACCGAACAAACTTATGTAAGTTATTTAATTTATAACTTTAAGATAAAGAGTGCACATATATATATATATATATATATATATATATGTAAACTTTTGTTTTTTAATATGCAGAGAGAGTATGAGCGGCACGTGCTTGACATAGGCAATTCGGTCCAGCTCACGCCTGAAGAGACCTCTTAAATTTGGAATAAAAAAGTGTTAGGTGGGACACAAAAGAAAATAATCTATGGGATGGGCTCTCGGAATGATGTACGATGACTCCAATCAAGTTTAGAAGGTATTGGATCGCTAGGCCAAGCCAAGGCACTTGACAGTGTTCCAATAGTTGTTATGTAGGAGCAAATGGCAGAATTTCCACATGCATTGGCAGCGTTTAAGGCAAAAAGAGTTGTTGAACAAAAAAGCATGAACCAAACCATTGAGCAAATCAAAGAACAAGCACTCAACCTTGCTTGTCTGCCTACTGCGTCTTGTACTTCCAGAGGTTCCTCTCCTACGGATTACACCGACGACAATGATGAAGTGGAATACATAGAATCCACCCCTTCGCTAGCATCCCTTTAATTAGTAAACATTTTAGAATTTTGTACTAATTTTGAAAAAAAATTATAAGTCTTTAAAATATGATTTTAGTGTTTATGAATATTTAATTAAGTTTGTTACTATATATTTTGTGTATAATGTTTATCGTTTGATATGTTATGAATGGGCTTAATTGAATTTTATTAGAAGGTGGACAGCAAAAAATGTTAGTTTCTGATGTCAAAATTGTTGCAGAAAAGCGATGGACAGGATCCATATGTCTGTCGCTTTTATGCATTTTTTTATATAAAAAAAAATCAAAGCAGTCCCTCGCTTTGTTCTTCATTGTTCTTCAATATGAAGAAGAGAGCGATGGACGGCGTCGCTTGTTTAAAAAAAAAAATCAAAACTGGACACAAATTATGTAAGTACTCCCCTACGTCCCAAATTATGTGATGTTTCAACTGGACACAGTTTTTAAGAAATATGGGAAGACTTTGCAATGATTCAAAACTATTCTTAAAATAAATAAATTTCTAGATTAAAAAAAAGTACACCTTTTGGACTTCCAACCAAATAAGTGGGACCAAAAATGGGTAAACCGTTGATAGTGTCATTAAATATTTGTCAAATAAGGAAATGTGTCATTCTTTTTTGGACCGACTAAAGAGAAAAGTGTGTCCCATAAATTAGGATAGAGGGAAATATCATGATAGTGGGGCTAGAGAGAGTAAGCTGATAAGTTAGCATTCAAGCTCTCAAATTAATATTTGTAGCTTTCATTTGAAACAAAAGACACGCTTCATCTAATACAATAATAAACGAGACCAAAACCACAAAAGTGAACACATTTATTCATTCATGTAATAGGCTTTCAAAAAATCAAATCCCGGCATCTATTATGACAGGGCTAGTTTCTAAGTCTCTAAGACTAGAAAATGACACTAGCTATCCCATCAAGAAAAATTATACTTTCTTGAGGCCACAATTCATGTTTACCAATAAAGAGCAAATCATGTAGCACTTTACGTCTAGTAATATTCATCTTTGGTTTATAACAACAAATGGTTTAAAAAAATATATAATACGTTTTCCTCTCATCTCAACTTAGTATTAACTTTGCAAGCCAACACTGTTAAATGCCAACTAGTCTTGTAAGTATTCTTTTATTAGTAAAGAGTAATATCATTGATTTCCACCATTATGAACTAGTTCTTTACGTATTACAAACAGGAAGCTCAAATCTCTTGATTCTAAACACTTGTAGTAAATCCAAAACTAATTCAGATGAAATTGGTTTTATCTTAGCAACCATGCAAAATATCGACTATTGACTGGAAATAAATTGCTACCTCTATACTTATACCAGCATCACGTGCTTTTTGAAATAGCATATCCACTCGGACAAGATCATTGGGCAGTTGTTCCTGCAAATATTCAACGTTGTGAGCTTTACAGAGGCAGAAAAAAAGAAAACCGAATTTCACAGAGGAAGCCACCACCACAAGCAGGCTTCATATCTTTCCCGAAATCAGCCTCAATAGCTTCACATATATCATGCTTTTAGTTACTATAACTCCTGCTTTTGTACCAAACCAACAGAATTTAAAACACTACATATGCAAAGAGCGAAAAGAAAAAAAGAAGCCAAAATAGAACATTGTTTTACATAGTAAATGTGACATGGACGACCTGATTTACTTGATATACAATAGAGAAGTTAGAGTGGATGAGATTGAATTGCAATTTTTATGACACAAACTTCGAAAATTAATAAATGAAATCATGGAAAGAGCCATCTCTATCAGGTTATGATAGTTCTTTCATTACATGGATCTTAATTCTACACTCGTCAGAGAGTAAACATCAACATATCGTCTACAACTTACGTTATTCCACACATTGATATTTTATATGTGTAAGCAATCGAGGACGTTAGAAGCACATAACATGCAATTTAACAGTTTTGCCATACAGAGAACTGACAATCTAGAGGATATAGGAAAATATCTGGATGTTAATTGAAAGAAAAAAAACAATCGGCATAATACATAAACAGACACTAAAATTTATTCAGCGTTGGTTTTCTACGCCAAGTTAGAGTGTTTGTTTATGTATTATGCCAAAAACAATAAGGTGTTAAGTTGCTGACATGTCTGGAGTGGATCAACCTAATTCGCATTTTGCTAGGTCACTGACATCATTTCAAACTGAATGTCAATGAGAGAATGAGCAATTTACAGTGTGAAATCTCTTATCCACAAATCTTTTATGAGAAAGGACAATACCTTGTAAAATGTCTCCACAGAAAAACTTGGATTTGCACCTAATGTTACTGTGAAGTAGGAAAAACTGACAGAAAATTTCTTCAATAAATACGCCAGATCAACTGTCCAAATACTGCAAAAAATGAAAGCAACAGTTATCATATTTGAAAATCATCTCATCTTGGCCATATAAGAGGTAAATGATAGTTTCCTTTGATCCCATTCAAACCAGCGGGGAATTCAAGTGAAAACTGTGATATACCAATGACAAAATAAATAGAGGTAGTGAATAATCAGAGAATAGAAGAATTATACCAGAACCTTGATTTTCAAAAAATTTCTTAGTCAACTAATAATACTTGGACTTAGCAAAATTTGCAGCAGGGAAACAAGTGACCAGAAAATTTTGAGGCTACGATATTATAATAATACTCTTGAATGAATAAATACCACGAACTAGTTCTTATTTAAGAAACATAAGGGATATTTAACTCAAAATTATCAGTCAGTTCAATCTCTAGAAAGAAAAGTTCACCTGCTGCAATTTGGTGGTGTGTCTCGACAGAAAGAAACGCATGTTATTGAAAATGGAAAGAGTACAATCATTAATGTCAATAAACAAATATATTTGTTTGCTTAGCTTTTGGTGCAACATGGCAGATGTACATGTTTCAGGCAAATCATGGAACAACAACAATAACAACATACCCAGTGAAATCCCATGAGTGAGGTCTAGGGAAGGTAGAAGTACACATACCTTACCACTACCTCGTGGAGGTAGAGAATTGTTTCCAAAAGACCCTCGAAAATCATGTATGACAAGTAAATATTGGAGATAACATGACACAATATACAGGGATTAGAAGAATTTCTTTCCCTGGATGATATGATTAAACAGGCCGACGCTTTAATTCTAAAGTTCGTAGGTACATGGCTTATAACGTTTTTTTGCCTCAGAAAATACAATAAAACGTACTATGTTCATTTAATAGAAATATCAGCAATGAAATTCTGCATACATCTAGTTCACTTATTTCTAATTTATCATCACTCTCTCATGTTGGCACCTAAACAGAAGTGCGAAAGTATTGGCTGACCACACGAGTATTTAATACTGCGGAGATCCAAAACTTTCAGTGGAACATCCAAGAAAAATGTTGCATAGAAGAATACAGCATCCATTCATACAAAACATTGAAAATAAAACAAATTCCTATTGGGAACATCGTTTTCTCGTTTTTTACACAGGAGCTATAACAGACATCCTAAGAATATTATAATTGAATACTTCAACTTTGACCAACAGTTATTGAAAAGGTGGGAACTCTCATAGCAATAAATGACACAAGGATCAGCTTCTCACTTCTCAAGCGAACAAAAAAAGATAAAAGTAAAAACAGATCAACAAAGAGATGGAATGAAAATAGATACTAAAGGCTATATATCACATGACAACAGAGCAAAAAGGTAGGGGCATTAGATTAAGGAATATCATCAAATACTCATAGCACTTTGAATTAGCACCTGGTAGTGCAGCAGAACTCTTCTAGCTCTTGCATGTTTCCATCCTTGATTCCAAGAAACCTCAAAACCATCAGAACACAAGCAAGACCGCAGTCCCACGAATGTAATTGGTTTATATGCGGAACCTAGAGTAACAAAAAATTCGTATTTTTAACAAACTAAAACACAGGATATATTAAGAAGACTCACTAGGTATAGGTTTTACACATAACACCCATTAGTACTGAGATTCAAATTAAATTTTCATATCAGCATAGGAAAAAAGGAACATCGACTCACATCAACAAAGTATGAGCCGGAAACTGTGCCGTGGAATTCATCTCGACCCAATGATTGTTTTAAGACCAAACTTAAATGCTCCCTTTCTGATTCTTCGGTGTTATCTTCTTCTGTTCCCAAAAACTTGCTCAATAGAACAAATAATGGCCACATCTCAGATGGTTTGTGAAGTCCCTGAACAATCAAATCGAATTTCTAATTTATGAATTATCTCTTCATCAATCATCATAAATAACCAGAAATGGCCATCAAAATTGATAAAGCATAAACACCAAAATGTTCATGTCATTAATCCAATCGAAACACCAATTATGATAATAGATTACGATTAAATTTGACAAATCCACAACACATCTAATAATTACAAGACCATATTATATTTGTAGATAATAGAATATACTACAAAAATTGACGAAAAAGTACCTTTCGATCGATCGATAAGGCGTTGACACAGAAAGAATTGTTGAAAGAAATGAAGAGAGTCTGATCTTTCTGGCTGTCAGGGTTGTTATGTAAAAAAAAAAAAAAAAAAATAAATAAATATTCTCACGTACGTTTAATTTAATTTTTTTAAGTTATGGAGGGATTTTCTAACAACAGGTCGTTGTAGTATAGTGGTAAGTATTCCCGCCTGTCACGCGGGTGACCCGGGTTCGATCCCCGGCAACGGCGAATATTTTGTATTTTTCTTTTTCGTATCATCCTTTTTGAGAAATGGTATTCTTCTCCTCTTTCTTTTTCTTTTTCTTTTTCTTTTTCTTTTTCTTTTTTTTTTTTCCAATTATGATTAGGAAAAAAATTTCCATCTTTTCTCAATTAATAATCCATTACTTATTATCTTTTTATCTAGGAGCTATAATTTACTGGATTATGAAAAAATTATCTTTTAAAATTTTATAAGCTTTAAGAATATCGTATTTCTTTTAAGTAAGCCACATAGATATATTCAAAAAAGAATTTGAATTAATGGATTTTTATTTATTTTTTAGAAATGAGCTTGAGGTATAAAGTTTAATTAACATATTAGAGATGAAGAAAAAGTATTTAAAGTATTAAGATTAATATATATTGTATATAATTATGAAAATTGTGTATATAAAAATGATATATTTTTAATAAAACCAACTGTTATCGATTTTTGTAAATTTTTAAACAAACCCAAACAACTATAAATTTATTTAATTAATATGATTTGATTTTTCATTTGAAAAATTATTTGAAAAGTTTTTATATAATCTTGAACACTCTAGCTGATGATATTAATCTCCCACTTCTTCAAACATTGCAGATAAAAATGGCCTTATATTATTATTGCTTCGTTCACCTGCTAATTATTATCTCTGTATATTTATTCTGCAGGGGTTTCGTCGGTTATGTTATCCATCACTTTTATATACTTATATATATATATATAAAAGCATCAGTTAAAATGTTGTATCAACATGTCTGCTAGAAGGAATTAAAATTCAAAATGAGGGCATATGTGACTTTTGATAAAATTGTTAAACAACGTATCAGCCAACCATTCTTTTTCACTGTCTTCTTGCAGCTTCTGTCTTTTCTCAGGCACACAATCATTAATTTTCCCAATGTTATATTTATAGTTCTGAAGCTCATTTCTCATCTCACATGGTTGAATTCAAAGGATTTCTACCACTTATCAATACATATGGATTCTCCGTATGAGATTCTATTTACCCAAAATGAGGCAGTTTAACTCAAGATAAGTCAACCCAAATTGCTCCTAAGCCTATTCAGATAACCCCTTTTGTTTATTTGGTATTTTTTCCTTTCTCATATTGTCGGCATAGAAATTGAAGAGTTTCTGTGTATTTATTATTGGTTCCGATCAAGGATAAAAAAAGAATGACGAGTCACGTTGTCAATTCTCTTATCTCTTTTTTCCTATTTTTTTAGTTTTCCACTTTAATTTGTTTTCTACAATTACTTTGTTGTTGTGTTGTTTCTTTTCTCATCTCTCTTTCTACCGTTAATATTTTTCATATTACTTTTATGGGAAATACATAGATGTAGGATTGAGAGAAAATGACTTCTCATTTGGGTGTACGAATTTTGACCTTGCTTTTTTCAAGTCTCGAGGTAACAACTTTCTCTAATATGGCTGGGTCATCTGGTGGGTGATTAATTGGATGCTCTCAAACGTACACTATACATTTATCATATAATAGGTTGTAAGAGTTTTGTTTCTTTGCAAGGAAATGGGTTGCAATATCTTATGCTGCTCTTTGTAATAGTGGGCTCCAAATATGCTTATAATTCAATTTGTCATTGAACAAGCCAAAAACAAATAATGTGTAATATACCAAGAATAATCTTTCCTCCTATTTTTTCTCTAAGACATTTTTAAAGAGTTCTTTGCAACATAGACATTAACTATATTTTCTTCAATTAAGCTTTAAGAAGGGAGGTATTATTTTAAAATGTTGTGGGAACGTCATCGCAACAGGGTGATGTCCAAGTTCTGATTCTTTTTTCTCATGATAAAGCATATATTTCTTCAATGTGGATAACCAACTTCATGGGATGCTCATTCATGTATTATTACTGGTTTAAAAGCTGCTCAATCTCCGGTATTTTAGTGCATGGGCATACAGACACTAAGATATATAGTACAAATGTGAAATTGGATGATAAATTCATTAGATGTTAATCCATTTATGCAATTTTTCGACAAAGGGATGTTGCTTGATACCCTTGGGTAAGGATGAGTTCGCCCCTGCATGAAGGTTTATGGCATTGGAGGCTTGGCCACATGAACACTGCGGGAATAAAGGTAATAACTGTTGATTTGCAGTTTTGTAAAGACTGCCTGCTAAAAAAAACAAAAGGAGGTCAACTTTTGTAAGGTAGGATAAGATCCTACAAGTGGGAACTTGAAATTTGTTCATACAATTAAACCCTTCAAAGATAGAAAGTCAATGTCCTCTATAAAAGTAACACTAGCATAAAAGGATAACTAGCGCCAAAAGGATAAGGAGTAGATCATTTGGTGTAAAAAGAAGGAATAGAGGTCATAATACATGGCCTCCTCTTCATAAGGGATAGAGGCCATAATACATAGCCTCCTCTTAGTACAAAATTTCCTAATTTTTCACTTTTATTACATTCAATTTGATATAAAAGGACATCATATAGTCCCATTCAAACAAAGAAAGATAGGTAATGGACACTATTCGTAAGTGAGAGCACATGCGTAAAAGGGGCTTAGGGGACATGTTGACGATTAAAGATATTTTCCCAGCCTCCTTCAGTTGATGACTCACAATTGAAACTTGAATACAGAATTGTGAGTGTGGGAAAAGACTTAACACAAGTTTGAGGTACCAGACAACATTCATCATTCAAAGATCTTCTATGTTTCCTCAAGACTTCGAATTGATTTGTAACACTCGACTCCGAATGGTTTGTATAGCCGACACATACAATTACAATGGAGGCCCATGATTTCAATGCATATTTCCAACTCCTGCGCCCACAAATGTTTTGTCATAGATGTGCTAGCAGAGGAGTATTTCGAGTATGCAATTATTCTCAAAATTGATGACACGATCGAGTAACAATGTTATAAGAATATGCAGTTCTTTGTCTATTTAAGTCCTTTGAAGTTGACAAGGAAATTTGAGTGGATAACTTATATTGGCAATACTTCATGTATGGGTAGTTTGTGTGAAAAAACAACATATTTAATCTTGATATGTAGTCATTTTCTGTGGTTTCACTTACAAATGATTTTTTGCAGTGTATTTGTATTCGACTGCTTTAGATTCTCTTTTTTCTATTTATTTACTTCTAAAAGATCCTTCATTTCTAATGTGATTTGTGCTAGAAATTTTGACATCAAAGGAAAAACAGTCCAGAACATTGCATCTGGGCGTAAAATGTTGCATCGAAAAGCTTTGGTGAAGATTGTTGATCATTATTACTAGAAGAAAATTGTCTAGTATTAAATACAAACATATGAATAAATTTATTGCTTGTACTATGAGCAGTTACTGATCAATATAAAAGAATTTATTTTTTATCAAGCGATGTATAAAGATACAATATAAAATAAAATCTTGGGCCCGTGCAACTGAAATCTAGTGTGTGTGTGTGTGTGTGTGTGTATATATATATATATATCCCCTATTTAGAAGAGGGAATTGAAGGACTAACACAGCTTTAAAAAGTTGTTCTCAAAGCTATTTAAATTGTAGTTTATATATATATATATATATATATATATATATATATTACTTTATTTAATAACTCCCCTATTTAGAAGAGGGAGTTGGAGGACTAACACAACTTTAAAAACTTGTTCCCAAAGCTATTTAAATTGTACTTTAAATATATATATATATATATATATATATATATATATATATTACTTTATTTAACAAGGATAATTATGTAATTTTGCCATTAAATTGAGGAGATTTTTAGAGGATGAACAAGGATAGATGGGTAATTTCGCTATACTTTTTGGATATGTACATTTGTTGTCTATCCACTTTAGTTCTTTCTTTGTTTACTTCTCCTCCACATTTGCTCTCCCATGGTTGGGGAAGGGTATTAGTGATCCTGCTGCTCTTCATATTAAGCAGAGAAGGTAATTCCTAATGCAGAGATAAAGAAAAGACTACCGTAATATTTATCTTTTCTTTTTAGTAGTGCAGAGAGATGTTATAAAATACATAATACAAAGACAAGTAGGAACTAACACTTCCAGAATTCTAGATCAAAACTATGATAAACTTGGAGACGTTTAGATTGCTAAAATAACTTATTAAATCATTATATAGTCTCTTTCTCCATAAGGTAATGAAAACTAGGAAAGAAATTAGAAAAGATATCAATATCATAAAGGCACAACGAAAGCAAACGCTAAAATGTCTTCTGTATATAGAATATGAATAGTATGTGCATCAAATAAGATTTGAGAAAAACTTGAAGATAAATGCACTTTGTGCTTGCTCACTATAGTAGATAATGGAACTCTAGATATTTCCATATATAGACTCATCTAGAATTGAACCAACAGACTGTTCAGATTTTTCTTTTTTTTAGGAAGGTAACAAAAATCTCCCCTATTTAGAAGAGGGAGTTGAAGGACTAACACAGCTTTAAAAAGTTATTCTCAAATCTATTTAAATAGTACTTTAAATATATATATATATATATATATTTTACTTTATTTAACAACTCCCCTATTTAGAAGAGGGAGTTGAAGGACTAACACAACTTTAAAAAGCTGTTCCCAAAGCTATTTAAATTGTACTTTAAATATATATATATCTATATATTTTAATTTATTTAACAAGGATAATTATGTAATTTTTGCCATTAAATTGAGGAGATTTCTAGAGGATGAACTAGGGTAGATGGGTAATTTCGCTATACTTTTTGGATCTGTACATTTGTTGTCTATTCACTTTAGTTCTTTCCTTGTTTACTTCTCCTCCACATTTGCTCTCCCATGGTTGGACAAGAGTATTAGTGATCCTGCTGCTCTTCATAATAAGCAGAGAAGGTTATTCCTAATGCTGAGATAAAGAAAAGACTACCGTAATATTTATCTTTTCTTTTTAGTAGTGTCGAGAAGTGATAAAATACAGAATACAAAGACAAGTAGGAACTTACACTTCCAGAATTGTAGATCAAAACTATGATAAATTTGGAGACGTTTAGATTGCTAAAATAACGTATTAAATCATTATATAGTCTTTTTCTCCATAAGGTAATGAAAACTAGGAAAGAAATTAGAAAAGATATCAATATCATAAAGGCACAGCGAAAGCAAAAGCTAAAATGTCTTCTGTATATAGAATATGAATAGTATGTGCATCGAATAAGATTTGAGAAAACCTTGAAGACAAATGCACTTTGTGCTTGCTCACTACAGTAGATAATGGAACTCTAGATATTTCCATATATAGACCCATCTAGAATTGAACCAACAGACTGTTCAGATTTTTCATTTTTTTTAGGAAGGTAACAAAAATGCCTAAGAGCCTTTTCAGACTGCGGACTTCAAGATCTCGAATGCAAAAGTTTCCATTTAAGCAGAATGTTGGATAAGGATTCAAACTTCACATCTAAGTAGGAAAGATATTGGCTATCCAATGGACATAGCATTGGCTATAGGATAAGGAGGTAGAGCCGTAGAAGAGATGCACTTATTAGAAAGCTTGAATTACAGGAATTCATCCTTCATATAATTAAGTTCAAAGATGTTTATAGAAATAAATTGTATGCAAAAAGCAGTTCAGTTAACTAGATTGTAGTTGCAAATGTGCAATGAATTCTTCTAATAACCGTAACTTTGCCATGACGAGTTCAAGGTTATCGTGAACTCCCACTTCCTTTTAATTGAATCCATTCTCTTCAAAATATTTTTCAAAATTAAACATTTAATATGATTGTATACATTTATTTTGAGCAACTCAGAGAAAAGGTCTTAATACTTGATTGCATAGATGTAGAAAGTTTAAGAACTTCAGCAGTTATGCACTCCTAATGTTCTTACTTTGCCATCTATTTGACAAAAAAAGTTCGAATGCATCCATATATACACATCCTCTGTTGGTTATGCGTGCAAGAATCAAACTCTTATTAAATAGGCAATGTAACATTATGAACGTTTACCTTTCTATTTCGCCTTAAATCACCATAAGGTAGGTTATGAACAACAACAATTCTCCATAAACCAATTCTCATGCTACTATTCAGCTCACTTGAATTTCTTAAAAATGCTTCTGTTTGCTCATCCACGAACATATAGAAGCATGCATTTTTCTTTGCATATTCACTGGTATTCTTTGGTTGCCGTATCAAATCAAAAGCCCCTTATCAAGTATATATTTGTTAAAACTTAAAACTGCAGTCCACTAGATACAAGATGAAAATGTAACAATGAGTGAACTGAAAGATCAATACTAAATATTGTTGATGCCACCACGACACCTTGACAAGATTCCATCTCAAGAAGGTTAGAATCATCAATGTCAAAACTTGTCTGATCTCCAGGCCTGATTCCTCTGACAAAACTGTCAATTAGATGTGGAATGGAAATATAAAATATGGTAAAATAGAGGATCTTGTGAAAATTGCAGTAATCTTTATCAAGTAGAGATAATATCATACCCACAATGCAACCTCATGGACTCTCTTATGTCAGAATCATTCCTCTGGAACAACGAAGGATATCCACCGAAATCTGAACCTCCAAAATCGGCTTTACTCTGATTTTCTTCATGGATGTAAGTCAAATTGCTAACACCAGGAGAAAAGGATGGTGCATCAGGCATTAATGCAATAGCTTGTTCAACAGGAAGGTAGCACACCGGACATGCTGAAAAACAAAAGAAAAAGAAAACCGAGGTTCAACATTTGGTACTCATATTTCTGACCTTCAATCTATTCAAAGGAGAAAAATTTCAGGGTATTACGAGACTTTTAAACTTACGTTATGGTCCAGTCCTCTTCTTATCTGCTAGCGGGGGTGGCAACGTGAAGCCTTCACATGGATTTCCAGGGGGAAGAGTATATCCTTTGAAATATACAGGAGGAAGAAGAGGGGGAGGAGGAGGAGGAGGAAGAGGAGGTTGGACAATTGACACACTTCGGCCAACATTATTTTTTGTATAGACTCAATACCCCTAAAAATATATTTTATGTACATTTTCTGGAGCAAACATCCTATTACTTTGTTCTGCGGCAACTTCACCTGAAAATGAGTTGAAAACTTAGTCATTGCAGAAGGCAGAAAAGCAGATTTGAGGGATGAAAATTTAGGAAATGTACAAGCACTAACATATGGAACGGCCGAATCAAAAGCATTCCTTTAATAACAGAAGCAGAAAATTGAATTATACAGGTGTTCATTGAGAATCTTCAATGGAAACTAGCCAAAATCATGAAAATTTCCTCATTAAAAAAATGTCAAAAATACAAACAAATGCAAGGCAACCAATTAATATTTACCAAAATTAGAACACTATAACCACCAGATAACACCACATAAGAGCCTATCAAAAGCTATTATGGCATTAACTCAAAGAAATGACAACAACAACGTACATAGAGTAATCCCACAAGTGGGTCCTAGGGAGGGTGGTGTGTAAACAGACCTTTACCTTCATGTATCCGATAAACTCTAAGAAATAACAAAAATAAGATTTTTGATTTTGTATTACTACTTAATAAGCAAATTCTCTATCTTAGTATTTGAAAGTGCATGAACACCAAACTATAGCTAAAGCTCTGGTTTGCATAAAGATTTGACATGATGTAGAATGGAATTATGGATACTACACCACTTTAAACTAAAAGTTGGAGCCAAAAGTCCTAACAATGTGACACATCTCAAAAAAAAGTGACAAATGTACAGAAGTGTAGAGAGCAAACCTTTGCCAACATGCAAGACCCACAGAAAAGCTGCAGCAGAAACTACACAGTGTAGCAACATCCCAACATTCTTTCGAGGGGCGAACTTGCAGATCCAGAGAAACAATCCCTCTTCCTCCTTAAACAATTTTGGGGGTTTTCTTGGAATAGGGGGTGTTGTTTGGATTGGTGATGAACTATTCTGAAATAGTTGTTGTTGCAAAGAACCAAAACTTCCTGAAGAACGAAGACCCATGACCCTGTAGTCATTGTTGTCCCCTCAATCCTAGAACTTCACCTCTCATTGCCCCCCTCCACTCATCCACATAAAAAAAGTGTCACTTTATTTCTTAATGTTTGAAACTTTTCAGTAAATTTCACATTCTAATTTGGAACAATTCAACAAAAGCAGCTCAAAAACTTCAGAAAACTTCTCACTACACGAATCTTGCACATCCTCTACATATGATATGATAAACAATCACATGTTGATCTCATATGGCAAAAAAATATTTTGATTTTATTACCTTAGTTAATATGAATCATCTTGATGTCCAATATCAGTTGTACATATATTTTGAATATCTCTAATAGTATATAACATATCACATTATCCATCTTCTGTAATAACTATCATCAATGATTCATTAATACTGATATTTTGACTATTGGGCCCGTGCTTGCGACGGGCCTTCCCCATATTTTATATATATATATATATATATATATCTATAA